GGATACAAACGTTATGTAAGAAAAAAAACATTATCATAGCAAACTTACCTTTATATTTTGTTAAACACACGCTATATAAAAGCACACTTAACCTTAAAATTAGGAACCTCTAATCAAATTAACTATCTAAACTAAACGCGGTTAGAAGACATAGAGTCTTGAAGGGTACCTATTTTAATCGAAAGAAGGTGAAAATTAGCGAATTAGAAGAATAACATTTATATTTAAGTTGAATTGAATAAAAAAATACTGTATTTTTTTAATTTGATTAAAAATGTTCTGTATTCAAATATTTAACAAATATTTTTGAGTTAGATTAACACTTGTTTACTAAGTAATACTAACTAACGTATTATATTAAAATTAACATAATTTTCTCGTAACTATATTATTATACTACAATGTACAACAAAATTATTATTTAACATTCTTATTTGTGTAGGACCTTTTAACACTTTAATGTTAGATAAATCTTTTGAAATTTTAGGATTTTAATTATTATAATTTTTGTATCAAGGAACAGCAAACCAATAATAATTAATTAAATTTTCAGAAAATTGAACGTTTCAATAAAACCAAAAAATGAACGTCTACTGGTTTGTTCACCTTTCGAGCCTCAACGTCACACTGACGTCAGAGAGAAAGAGGGAAAAGGGCATATGCATATACAGGGTGGTAGGAAAATGCTGGTCGAAGTTTTTTAGCAACTATGAACCTCACGCCATTTTCAGTACACCCTGTACATGGAGGAACAGAAGAGAGAGAGGGATAATGTCGGATTTGGTCCTGGTTCATTATCCTTTCGATAAGGACCCTTCGCAGAGCAAACACGACGATGGATTTTTTCTTGTTTATAAAAGAGTTAAACCAATTGTTGAACTTACCCTTGTCCTAAATTAGGGATTAGGCTTCCTAATCACGGTCTAATCGATCGACGTGATTTTCAAGGGATTTTTTTAATTAACAATAGTACCTACCTATATGATGCAACAAGAACGTCATCACATATGATGAAAATAAAAATATCTCTAAAATGAAAATTAAATATTTGAGAGCAAAGTAATTTTCGGCTGTTATCGGCTAGGTAAGTTACAAAACTTAATTTACAAGGGAAACATCATTCAATATTTCATGACACAATAAGGACAGAAAGGGTGGGCAGGAATATGTACCTGCCTGTGGGGATTAAATACGTATTTCAAGAGTGGCGATGGTAAAGACATCTAGGATTCGAGCGGTGCACTAAAAGCCAGCTTTTAAAAGAAACTCGATATTTACTAGAGGTCGCCTTCTAGATGTCTTTAGGTCTGATAAAAAATAAATAGATTCTCCAAATTGCATTCCAAAACTCGGCTTATCCATATTAGGTGATTTTGAGCAAAATACGAGGTGTGTTCAGAAAATATCGAGAATTTTCGTTTTTTGAAACAAATATTTATTTATTCGTCTACATTAATGTTGTCGCCTTCAAAATAGTCCCCATTGGATATTATGCACATGTGTCAGCTCTTCTTCAAATACTCGAAACACTTCTAAAACTCGATCTTTGAGATAGCCTTTAGTTCTTTCAGCGATGCGCTTTTAATGTCATCTATGCTTGCAAAACGACGGCCCTTTAAGGTTTTGGGAATAGGAAAAAGTCAGACAGAGGCATGTCTGGTGAATATGGAGGCTGGGCATCATTACAGTTTTGTTTATGGCCAAAAATTTAGTTCAAAATTTAACAATTTTAGAACAAATTTTGCTGCCACGCGTTTCGTACCCAAAACATTTGCAAAAATTTCATGGGATGGGCCAATCGATATACCAACGCGACTTCTCTGATGATTTATAACCATTTCTTCCACTTTTTTCATGTTTTTATCGGTTGTTAATGGGCTTGTGCGTTCGTCATCTTCAACGTCTTCACGGCCATCTTGGAAACTCTTATACCACCTGTAAACTCTTGTTTTACTTATAGCAGACTCACTATAGGCCTTTGTTAACATTTCACAGAATTTATTTCATTTTTTAAGCAAAATTGGATACAAATCCTTTGATCCATTTCTTTTAACGAACGAAAATCGCCGAGCTCATAAAACACGTCTAACCTTAGCGGCTGCCACAGACAAAGTAAACAATGAAAACAGCCAAAGTTTTTATCATACTTCGGGGGCATGTATACCAACATAATAAATAAAATTTTATGACAACCGGACCCTCCGAACCCGCGAAATTTAACAATGCCAATTATTTTCTAAACACACCTCGTACATATGCAAAAAACGCAACTACTTTTTAGTATTTTTTCGGACAATATATATTTTAAATCATAATAGACTTAAAAATGCTAAAAAATTGTAATAGTGAAAATAAAATACAAACATTTGCAAACAATTTATGAAAAATTATTTAAAATTCATCAAATTCAGTATAAATATTAAAACAATGTTTTTAATTAAAAAGTTACAACTGTGGAGTATGTTGCTTTATTAAAAAAACAAAAAAATTAAATATTCCTTTGATCTTGGAACAATAAATTCTATGAAAACAATTTATTAAAAACAATGTTTGGATTTTTATTAAATAAAAATGAATATAAAAAGTTTTAATGTATAAAATAACAAAATTTATAATTTTGTAGACAAACGAATCAAACTAATGAATTTTGTCTGCTCCTACTAGTGTGTTAAGTTACTTAATGCAATAGTGAGGTTAGAACTAATTGACAGGTGTCAGATTGGGAAAAACTGAGGTTAAACCCGTCTTAAAGATGTAAAATTGGTAAAAACCGCTTGATAATGTTTATTACTCAATACAATAATACAATGCAAATTGTAAATTTGACGTTTCTTTATCATTCACACAAAATCTACAGATTTTTCATATATGCATGGGTATTGAATTTAATTATGCACTATCAGAGCTTGCGGAGCGAGTTTTTAATAAATGAGTGATGTTGAGACTAGAATTTTAGTTATACAATTTGAAATATCAAATTTGGGAATGCTTTAATAATAATAAAATCCTTGTTAAGTAATTAAAATAATCTGGGTTTATTTTAGGAATATATAACAATAAAAAATACAAGGACTTTAAATGACAAAAGGTATAAATGACAACACTGTGTCTACCCACTGCTGAAACATCCGAACAATGAAATGCTCTCCGAATAATTTTTTTCCAGCACTATTTTTTTGTTGTCTCTGTCCATTTCTCCTTCAATTTTCCGGAAAAGCGAGTTGAAATAAAATAATCAAAGTTTTAAAGTGTTTCAGATTTAACTGGGCCAACATTTGTTATATTTAAGGAAAATTTAGTTTTAGATATTTTATTTTTTACAAGGTTACCATGTTTGAAAAAAATTCTTTGACATTTTGATATTGCTCTCTGTGAATAATTTCAACATTCGTGATAAAAAATACGACTTTACTGTCTTGATACATAAATAACTATTTTAATGAAACACAAAATCACAAAAACCGTAATAATTGACCATTCAACCCATTTTTTTTATTATGTAACTCGTAATTTAAACACGAAATGTAATTTTGATCGATCAATAAAATAATTTATTTACCGGAATTTTTTACGGTCATACCTATTTATTAAACTGTAGCAAATTACACAAATACTGCTTTTATATAAAAAATAAAATTGCGTACAATTTGTGGAGTAAAAATTTAAAAAAAAAAAATTTCTAGGTAATAGTGTAATCAAATGAGAGCAAATCATTTTGGCATAATCAGAGAAGGAAAACATAACTTAAAATGATAAATAATGACTTTTTTATAATATTATAATATATATTAATAAAATTTATGTAAATTTAACAACAAATTAATTGTTAATTAAATAAACTATTTTCATTGCAACAATGGTCACATTTTCAACCTACTGTTGGGTGTTGGGTAGTTTTTTTAAATAACTGCAAGGCATTAAAACAAATTATTCATTATAACAAAAAAATTAACTCATGTTATATGATGTACAAGATAACAAAATATGAAATCACATTTTAAACAACAAGTCTGCTTCGTTTATAGAATAGACCTTAAATATTTCTTCTAAAAAACGTCGAAATTTTAATTTTCTTAGTGATCTTTTTGAAATTTTTATCATGCTAGATTTTACCACACTTCACTCGCACAAGTGAAATCAATAAGATTATAACACTTTGGATTATAAAGTTATGTTCGCCAAGGAGAGCGCTGGCCCTTTCCCCCTCTTTTTAAGGGAAACAACAAAAATTGTGTTACCATTGCAAAACAATAGTAAATATTAAAAAAGTCTTTTTATAGCAATAAAATATTTTTGTTACTATTTTTAAAGTAAGCTATTAACAAAGATTTTCTAACTGAAATAAAATTAATTTGAATTACAACGGTAGTAATTTAAAAAGACAAATATGCTATAGTAAAATGAACATTTTTTACTATATAGCGCTTACATAAAGTAATGCGCAGTTGTTATATAACAACTGCGCATTACTTTATGTAAGCGCAATTCACACACAACTATAGATTTAACAAAAACATTTTAAGTTCGACAAAGATTTAATATAAACATAAAGTATTTCTTATTGCCATGACAATATGATAACAACTATAGTTATATATTACTTTGTTGGATGAATTTTTTTTTTATAAAAGCTCAACATTTCTGCTTCATTATAGTAAATGAGAATTTTATTAACAGTAAAAAAGTTTATTCTGTAAATAAAAATAATCTCATTAATTTGACAAATCGTAGGTTTTTGTCCTAAAAAGACACTGAAAATTTAATAAAAAAGGTACTTTAGGTGGAACATTTTTTTATAGCCTTAAATAATATTATTATTTCCACATTATTATTTCACAATATGTATGACATTTGACAATTGTCAACTAACTTATAACTAACTTTAGCCCGTGACTAAAGCCACAGCTTGTCAATGTGTATTTAAAAGGTCCATAAGTGTCATAATTATATGTATATAACGCCTATTTTGTACGTAAGAAAAATATAAAAAAATCACTTACACTATGATATGGTAGAGAAAACACTTCCAATTATCGGGCCTTTCCAAAAAATTGTACACTTGACCTTGAAAAGTGGCCTTTCCGGCGTTTTTCCGATGTTGCTTGGAGGCGTACCGAGCCGCCGCCCCCCACTTTGGGGGGGACTCCAGTAGTAAGGAAGCTGCGTTAAGACCTTGGCAACAAGATGCGGGACCTAAAATCATCGGATATAATATATTATAAAAATTGTGGTTTTCGAGATTTTAATTTTTAATTTTTTTTTGTTAATTAAGAAGGTTGCAATGGGCGTCAAACAAAACATAATCGAATTAGTCGTCGACATTTTTTTTTATTAATTTAAACCAGTGTTAATAACATTTTATATTTTTGATAGAAAAAGTTCATTTGTTTATACATAACAACGAAAATATTTTACAGATTATTTTTATTATTATTTTGCTAGCTTGGCATTATTTTTTTATTGTTAAAAAATCCTCGTATTATGAGCATAATAGTTTGAAGTTTAAGTCTTTCAGTGCAATTAAACAGAAACGTATCTTAAAAACATTCTTACCCTAATAGCCCGTTGGCATTTCCACTTTAATTAAAAATTTTCCAACATTGTTTTAATGGGTCCGTAAACTTTATATGACAAGTTTGAAATAATATTTCATACGACGAGTCGTAACTATTTTAATAAAATGATATAAAGTCGCAAAAATAAAAATCTTCTATACTTGATATATGGGATGATGGGTAATAAAAATTAAGATTACATTAAATCATTTCTGATAATACGCTAAAGAAGCATCGCTAGTACCGCCACCATATGGCCGTAATCATCGTAACAAAACTACAACTCTTAATAAACAAGTTTTTTGAGAATATGACCGAAAAATATCGAGAAAAAAAGAAATAACTTATTTTTGATTTTAAAAGTCTAAAACCTATCCTCCGTGACTGTTACTCTTTCTAGGTTCAATAAGTAAATTAAACACATCTAAAGCAATCGAATCAAATATAAAATATTATTAAAAGTTAAAAGAAATAATTTTTATAACCATTTACGTAGGTGTTACAAAAATTGATTCTATCCTCCGTGAATCTGTTTTTGCTTTAAATTTTATGCAACGGATGGCGCTTTAATCATTTTAAATAAGCAAAAACCTCTGTTTACGACATTATAGATGCATGTGATTCCTGAAAGTCAGTTAGAATTTATATGCAGATGAGAGTGTTGCTGTTTTATAACTCAAAAGTTTAAGTTCATTAATTTGTTATTTAAAAACCTATCCACCGTGTAATATCTCAGTAAGTGGATTTTTTTTATAAATATTTTATGTATGTACAATTGTATTTTTAAAAAATATTAAGGTTTCAAAAGATAAAATATCTTATTTTAAATATACAAAGGGATGTTAAAAAAAACATACGAAATCCTAACCTCCGTGAAGCTATCTTCCGATTTTTTTACTAAGGTCATGTTTAGTTTTTCTGATTGGTCATGAGTTGGCCTGTCAGTCCCTCAAAGGTTGATTTTTAGGTTATAATTGTGCAACTATGCTTCTTTAGCGTATAAGTAAAAAGTATACTCTCTTAAAATGAATTAGTCAAAAATAACTAATTATAAGTCATATTTGACTAATTGTCATAGTGAAAAGCAGTCACTAATAATTAGTCAAATTCTACTGAATAAAATAGTCAAATTAGTAGATTTAAATTTAAAAAAAGTTTTGACCCAGCCGGGGATTGAACTCAGGTCTGTCACTTGTCAAGCTTGTCAAGCTGTTGTCATAACCCATTCGGCTATCAGCCGCTCTTATAAAAATTAATTTTATTTGTCAATAAATATTGTTCATAATAATTTAAAGTTGAATATATTATCTGTGTTGCTGTTTTGAGCTAAACTTTTTGCATCTTTATTTTTTTATGGGTCATTTAACCATGGAGCTTAGGTATATGAATTTAATTCAAATAATAATGCTTTGTTGTTGGCCGCAAACGATTAAAGAAATTAGTTACTTTTAACTCTCAGAAATAGGCAAAGATGGTGACTAATCTTAAATTAGTCAAACTTTAACTATTTACGTTGTAAAAAATAACTATTTAAAAGTGAAAACGACTATTTTATTGGTAAAAAATGCTGGTACTAATTCAAATAGTAGAATTTTGACTATTTCATTTTTAGAGAGTATTTGGTTAAATTTTGCTCACCCGAGTCCAGTGGGGTGTTTATTAATTGTTGGCTGCTTTTATCAGATAGAGGGCTTGGAGTGGTGCCAACCTCAACTATTGTTACTGAAAGTTGAGATCGCCCTAAGAAATAAACATATTGTGTAGATAAATACAACATAAATAATTGAAATTGTAAAAAAACTAATAAAATATCACTAATAATAATTCTTATTGATTGGTTTCAGTTATATATAAATGTATACAAATTATACAAATATTTGTATACAAATTTAATACCTACTCCAATAAATTTGGCAAAACTTGTATTACAAAATTTACTTTAGCTTCAGTTTGATAAATTGATTGTTAATTTTGTTATTTGAAGGGCAACTCGAAAATTAATGACCTCCGTTGACTGACTGACTAAAAAGTATTTTCAACCATGGCGACAAAGTCCCTGAAAAGCTTCGGTCAACAAAGTTTCTATTTAGGTTAAAACCCGGGTACATATAAAACGTATTATGGCATGCCGAGTGGCCCCACGAGACCATTTATATTAATGGTACTCATGATAATTGGGCATTTTATCATTTCCGCCTATTCTGTGCTATATAATATTAATCATTGCTTTGCCTGTCCCTACAAACGTGTCTTGTGCCTATAATACAGCTTGTTCCAAATAAAACTTAAAATAATTCAGGAGATAAAACACCCTGTATAACCACACATAGGGCAGGATTATTGTGGTTTATGCTTTGGCAAACACAATATTAATAATTTAAATTTAATTAGCTAAATTACTAAATTTGACTATTCATGAGGTCAGGCGAAATACAGGCTGTTTCAAAAACACCCAACCTATCCTTAAATTAAAAAGATTTTATTTCTTAGCTTAAAATCAAGCACAGTTAAAACAAGATGATTGACCTAATATTGTCAAGGCTAAAACTAACATTTAACTAAATATTAATCTTTCTTTAAACAAGCAGATCTTATTCTTGCCTGTTAAATGTTAAGAAAGACTTTAAATGAAATAATCTTATTCTTAATTTAAGATTAACAATCGATTAGACCAAATTTTGGAAAATTCCCCCTATTCTGTTCTTAAAGATATAAAACTATACTGGATATAAATATAATTATATTTATTCTAAGATTAGTAAATATTGGTACGACTGGCCTATTCTTAAAAATATCCCCCACTAACGAAAGTGTCCGACATTTTGGAAGATTGTTTATTGTGTTAGTCAATATTTGGTTTGGAATTATGAAAGAGCTGCTAAATTAGTGGAATTTGATAGAATTAACCACCAAATGTATGTGTAGGTACCTAATAATTATTACATAATTATATTTATGTGTGTAGTATTGTATTGAATTTTAGATGTTGGAGTGATATTAGGTTGGCCGAAGAATCGCATAAAAACAATTGTGTATATTTTACCTCTGATAATAGGTACGATTAAAAATGTTGGTTAAACAGGCCAATATAGCCAAAAAATGTCCGCCTCGCAAACAAAATCAACGTGTCTGTTAAACTATATTTTATTATTATTTTAGCTTGTTCTTTGAGAAAGAAGGAATAAGCTGAACTTTGTATCTTAATGGTTGTGGTTGGACAAACCAAATTACAAACAAGGCTTAAACAATAAATAATTGTATACTGATATACAGTACATTAAAAAAAAATTATTATAGTATTAAAAAAACTCAACCAACAATCTAGCAATATTTCTACCTGTACTAAGCAACTTTTGTTTTTCATCTAGAGCCATACCGAGCGTTTCTGGGGGCGAAACTCCGGAGTGGGGCATTTTTATGTTAGGGAAGGATCTTCCTGGATATCTACAAAAAAAAATTAGTATAAAAAGTATATACAGGGTGTTATGTAATTAATGTAATATATTAAAATACTAAATACCTTTTGACATAAGGTGTAACGAAAAAATATTAAGAAAAAGATAAAGAAAAAATATGCATTGAAAATTTGCATTGTTAATTTTGTCATTTTTGTAATTAAGCTAAATTTAAACAAAATCTGGCAACTTTTTTTACATAATCTGAAAACGCCTATTACATTTATATATATATTACATTGAGTACATAACACCCTGTATATATATATATATATATATATATTTTTTTAAACTAAATAAATGTGCAGGATTGACTTAACGTGCAAAAAGTATAAAACAAATAATTTCTTCCCGGAGCATTCGCCATTTTTGAAAATTTTAATAAAAAAATTATTACAAATGTTTAATACTAAACGAAATTTTTTGACAATTAGAGATGCAAGGTGTTGAAGGGGTTAAGTAACATATTTAATAGCAAAGGGAAAATTTTATAGCAATACCAATTAATTTTTATTTACTCTCACAATATTAATTGTTTCTTCTTTATTATTAAAAATGTTACTCGAGCCCTTAAATACCTCTAATTTTAATTAAAGCTATTTAAGGGCTATTTAACATGTTATAAAAGACAAATTTAATGAATACAGGAAATGTACTCAATGAAAACTACTAGCATAAGTAGGCACCTCACATTTATTTTCCAAATTGCATTTCGTATTTTATTAAAAAATTACCTCAATTTATTTTTTCAGTGCATTTATGTAACAAAAAATACAGCTGACATTCCTATTCAATAGCAATGTTTTAAATTGCATTATATTGTCTACGTACATTAAAAGTTTATAACAATAATATATTATGTTTCAGGTTTGATAAACGCCATTTTAAACACGATATTTATTAATGTCTAGAAAAGTTTATAAGGGTGATTCTACAAAAGTTGGACAACTTGATGTCATCAGTCAATAGAGTAGGTATTTTAATATTTTTTCTAAATATTTTAGTATATTACAAAAGCTCCAGGTTTTTTTAACTTGTCCACCCATTTTTAATTTAATTTATTTTTTCAAAAGCACGTTTGTAGAAAAACATAATAAATATTCAAAACGTATCTTAAATTTTTCAATTTCACTACAAACTATAAAACAAAATAATGTATTCTTCATATTGTATCATAGATTCGAATAATAGCAATTTTTAAAAAACTGATAATCTTTGTACTCACTTTTACCCGTCAGTTCTGTGTCCAATGTTAAAATTCAAAATTCGAAATATTGGAGTTTAAACGTCAAGTCCTCGTTTTAACTCAAGTGTTGGTAAAAAATTACCTACAGAGCCCGCCCTTTGCACGACAGTCATCTTGAAAACAATGCAAGCGGCGAAGTTGTGGTGAATGCACGTATAGTGTCAAAATTTCAGTACTGTGGTGAGTGGTTATTTTCTTACGTATATATATATATATTTCATTGTAATTTATATAAGGCTATAAGTGATTTGTTAATAAGTAGCATCCACTAATAAAAAATATCAGTAAAATATATTTTATAGTATACTTAATTCCGAATTATAATCTCAAATTTGTATCCCATTCATCAGTACCGTGTCGTCAGTTCCATGTTTGATGTTTCGGTTATCTTTTTTTCGCAAACTTCAATTTAAATTCTGCTTGCGCAGAACTTGTTTATTTAATGTCATTACCTATAAACTCATATAAATTTGGTGTGGGTCCCATATCTAATAATTGAGATATCGGCATACCCAAAATCCACCATCCGCCACTGATGTGTGGTATTATTTGATTTTAAGATATTTAATGTATAATATGCTCAAAGTTGCAATAAATCTTATATTTTCCAATAAATTATATATTTAATTTGTACCCTGGTATACTCGTCACTTCCCTTGCATTCAAATTTAGAAAACACAGATATTTCAGAAACTGTTTGAAAAAGTGACTGGCCCGGTCTGGAACAGTATATTTATTATATTATCTATGTTCTTATAACAAAATACTGTTTAATTTTCTCCGAAAACTATATAAATAAAATGAGGTCAAAAGTTGCCCAACTTTTGTAGAATCACTCATAAACGAGTTGCATATTATACTTTTTCTACGAAAATACTTGATATTATCTTAAAATGATTTAAATCAAATAGCGCCATCTATAAAACAATAAGGAAATCTGTGTTACCGTCAAATGTCAAATTTTTATTACCTTTATAAGGTTATAAATCGAAAATGGATTAACAACAGTTTCTCACAGTGAAAGTAAAGAAAATGTTTTACGAGCCATTGTCGTTTTAAAGGTGGGAGTAGGAAAATATATTTAATCGCTATTCTGTAACAATTATTATAATGAAACGGCAGTTAGTTTAGTAAATTGAATCAATAAAATGTAGTTGTTACTTAATTGTGTTTGAAAAACATAATCTTATTACAAGCCTTTGTTTATTAGCTTAAAAAATATACATTTATGAGAAAATAAACTGGCTTTATTGAAAAAAATTCTTCGACATTTGCTGTAATTTTTTTTTCTTTATTAAGTAACTTTTAAAGTTTCATAAACTGAACAATATTTAAGCGTCAAATATTAAAAATTTATCACCAAACTTTAAATTTTGTAGTCTGAAATTAAAAACAAAATTTTATAAATATATTAATATATATATAACATATTTTAACATACTTTAAAACAAAAAACTTGTCCACGGTTCTTAAACAATCATTGTACAAAAACACCAAAATATTTTTAATCATAATTAAAACTTGAAAAATATTATTTTTATTAGAAGTTAAACGGTTGAAATGATCGGTATAAAATGTGGTTTTCCTTTTAGATTATTAAAAGTGAGCGAAATTCAAATGGGCGCAAGACATGAAACGAAAGGTATTTCCTTTTTATCACTGTTCTTTTTGCAAAGGCTAACAAAGACTTTTTACTGTTTTACTTTTGATGTACTCATGCTTTTTAAATTATGCTAAGGCATGACAGAACCCTTTAAATGTAAAGGTAGGTATGTCAAGTGATCGTTTTAATAGGAACTTAAATATTTTATTTTGGTACATTTACAAAAAAAAAAATTTATTTTTTTTTCTTATAAATATATAAAAAGGATAGTATGTTTCTTTAAACCTTATTTACGTTTACTTAAAAATAAAAATATTTGAATTTTTAATATTAGTTTTATAAAAACATGCAAAAAAGTATAGTAATTGGATATTTTATATAGGACACATGAACCTTAGTTATTGGACATAAAATTTTTATATAAACATAGCAACTTTACATCAAATAACATAAATTGTTAAATATTTTTTAAAGATAAATTGCTGTTTTAGGTAATTTTTTTATTTCGTTTTTGTAAATATCATATAATTCATATATTTCTTTCTCGGATTCCTCATCCCTTTTCTGGATTCTGAAGGTAACTACTAATTCCTTGGTCTGACTTCTGAAATAGTTTGTTGCAAATATCATTAAGTGTGGTATCTGTAGTTTGTGAAGCATTTATAATGTTTAGGCCAGAACAGGATGAATTATATATATCTAATATTTTTTCGGGTGGTATGTTAAAAGTTTTTTCCTAATTTATTGATTTTTTCCATTAATTTTTTATATTCTCTATCATGCACTGTATATAAATCACTGTTATTCTGCAAGATGTCCTGTGACGAAGAAACCACTATATTCTTACTCTCTAAAAATGAATTAGTCAAAAATGTCATAGCGAAAAAGCAGCCACTAACAATTCTCGTCAAGAGCAATTTGTATCCAGGACATTTAGCAGTCAATTCCTATGAAATATTATTCGCTGAATCCGAAAATGTCGTCAAAAGTTATAAAAGTAGAACAGCTGTTTTTGAAATATAATTAATTTTACATACCTATAATATGGAATTGACTATATCTCAAAAACTGCTTAACTTTTATAGTTTTTGACGGTATTTTCGGATTCAGGGGACAATTTTACATAAGAATTGGCTGGTAAATGCCCGGGATATAAATAGAGTATGATATTGGACATATGTCCAATAATGGAAATTTACATTTTTTACCTTCCAGTAATTGGACACTGGCCATTTTACTGTTTGTTTTCAGAATTAAAATTAAAACGCCTTAAAGTGACAATGTTTAAACCACGAGGAACTCATTTATACCACACACTGATCTGTACACTTTTGAAAAATATTTTTTATTGTAATTTAAACACAGCCCTGCTCTTAACAAAAAACAAAAATCTTACCACCAAAGTAACGTGCGAACTTTTTTGTCCTATATTGGACCCAAAATAAAGTAGTTCTATATTATTACCGACTGAGATAGTTATAATTGTATACAGCGTCATCTAATGATTTGACTTTATAGAACTCTTGTTTTTACAGTATTAATGTTAATTGTCCAATAACTATAAAGTGTCCGATAACTGTCTACTTTACCCTATATGGGATCTCTATAAACTATATATATATTTATATTCAGTGTACAGTGCACCTTAAAAATGTATAAAAATAAATTACAAATAAAGTAAGTAAATAAATAGCTTTATCTTGTGAAGTGTACTTGTGCCAAACTTTTGCGATAAGACCCTGAGAAACGCAGTGGAGCAGGTCTGTTGTATAAAAAACATGAGATAAGTGGTTAAAATCGATAAATCAATAAAAAATGTACGTTCTTAATGCAATAAAAATAAAATACAAGCGAACAAAACTGTCGCAAGCTGTAAGTTACATTTTTATGTATGTGTAAAGTTATAAAGTTTAAAAGTAGTTATTTATGTAGTAAATAAATAATTATACATTTAATGGTATTAAAGGGTTCTAAAGTTTTATCGCGTGACATACGTAGATAAGTACATAATACATAACTTTTAGTTCGTAATAGATATATCTTGTAATATTAATTTTAAAATTACCAAAATATTTGTTGCTCTACTCGTATTCTGGCTTAATCAGTTTTGTATCACCATAGATCATGGTTTAATCATACC